GAGCTGGATTTTTAACAATACACACCGTCACTGTAAATTTCATAATGTGTTTGGAATGGCTTAATCTTATTTCTTGTCTGGGTCAAAAACTGAAATTATCCTAATCCCCCAGCTAGCCGCAGCTTTACCACCAAAAGCTGTAGACAAAGGGGTTTTCCTCAGTTTTTAATATCYCGATGTAACACCCTGTTCAATTATTCATTACATGTTTACGACGCTAGCTTTTATCCTGCCTAATTGAAACTTATCCAATGAGAAAAAGTAGTTGGTCAAAAGCATGACAAGGATTGATAGTAAATTAGCAATTTCCTTTTTCCTGTATCCCTCCCTTGTGTCCTAAAATTTAATGAGAATTTGATTTGGCAGCATTGTTAAGCCCTTTTATTTTCTTCTTTTTGGCTACATGCCTTCCATTTTATTCACGTATTCCCAGCCTTCACGGCTTCACTTAATACATGTTTATTTGATGATCAATCTGTATCAAGGTCAAGATCATAGTGCAAAAGTTTTCTGAAGCTGTTTAAGAGAGACGTATCAGGATACAATAATTAACAATTTAACATAAATATGGTTGTGGTGGAGAAACCCAAATAAAGATTGGAGATATATCTATTAGTATTCATGGGTAGCGTMTAAACAACAGGATGTTAATCCCTTGCACATTTTACAACTATTATCATATATTCATATCATATTAAATTTGCATTGTATTTCAATGTTTAAAAAGCATGCATGTTTATTATAAAATTGCATTTCAGATGTGCATCATCTCTATCGCACTGCAATGGTCAGTGGGTGTGTCGTGCTCCTCTGCCCAAAAAGGCTATGAATCTGCCTCTATTATCAGTCATTTCATATCAATATGTTAAACCCCTTTTCTTTATCATTCTTACAACAGTTTCATTATACATGCTTTATTTTATCTATTTTTAATTTGAAGCATCTACCTTTCTAGTCCATCACATACAAAAATCTGTGAAAGGTGAGTCATTGATGAATCATAAAAGTAGGTAATTTGCACTTTTATGGTGCATAAACTTAACATGCACATTTTCTTTTGGTTGCTAAGGTTGTAATCACATCACCTTTTATTAGCGAGTTTATAGATTTTATAAAGTTGAGGTTGTAATCATATCACTTTTCTTGCAGTACAAGTTTTAAACCAAGTATCAAAAATACAAAGTGTATTGGAAAGACAATTTTAAGAGATAAGGATACACATTGAATAAACATTGGATACATAGGAAATTGTTATATGTATATATATCTAACAAATCATAAAATACATTAACACTAAATATAAATCTTAAATGAGAAACACATAAAAATCACATACTTTAGTTGTCTTTATGAAGAAATATAGCATAATCATTATATGGGAACACATGCTTTGGTATTCTTGTTTTCTTGAAAATAATTCATATATCTTGTTTATAAGAGGCTAAAATGAAAGATTTTAACTATCCGACTTCCCAAAATA